GCTAATAATCATGTGACATTAAATTTGATTGGTTGGGAAGATTTCGGAAGCGATCTGCATTTTGTGTAACCTTGACGATCGCTCCTGTTATTTTGATGGTGATGTTTGGAGCGTTACTGTAAATAAGTACCATCCCTTCTACCCCATTTTATTTAAATATAAGATTAGCGGAAATCGTAATAAGATCCTTAGCCAAGTTATTTCTGCTAATGGTGCTTGCTTACGGCAGAATTAGAGATGAACAAATCCAAAAATCCCGTGCAGGATTCATTAAACCTAGGTGTCGCGGTTGATCCACGATTTTGATTGGCCAACGACTGTGACAAACAAAATTCTTGCCTGCATTATACATAATTTTGGCCGGAATTTAATTTTTTAATTTTTTTAATTGCAAAAATATAAATTTTTAAGGTTTGGTCCTGTGCAATGGTAAAATTAGCCCAGAAACTTATTTTACTTAATGGGTGGCCACGATTTCATTAGTAAAAATTCGAGTAATTTTTCCTAAATGTTTAATCGTTGCCGTTGGCCAATCATAAATATAAAAAAAGAATTATGTAATCTCATACACATAAAGAATAGAAAGACATGTAAAGTATGGTAAAAGCGGTATTTATTATTAATAAACTCAGACCTTATTAATTCGTGGACAATATCAAAATATTAGTATTTTTTTTTAATAAGTCACTAATACAATATACAATCTATAAACCGAAACAAGAACCGGTCCAATTTTTGTAAAATGATTCCAAATATCCAAATATCATGATTACCACTCATGTTATATTTATTTTTAAAAAGAGTGACTTAATGATATTTTTGGTAAGCAAAAGATGCCAACGACAAAAAGGTAAATTCTTATTAAATATATATACAGTACACCCGACAGGCATGGGGACAGCTTTTGTATCGGTTTTGAGAGGTTATCAGGTTTAAGTTCACTGGTCGCATGATTATAAATAAATATAATTGGCTAGATTGTATTTATTATATATCTACTTGATCACACAAAGCTCGATCTAAGCCAATCAATTTGGTTTATATTACCCGACAAACCCTTTTGAGTATCGGTTATCAGAAATGGCGGGTTTGAATTATGGAACAGACATGGTGGATCAATTTTTTATCGGTAATAACAGGTTATCGGTTTTGACAGGATCGGTTTTGGAAGGGTATACTGTATACATATGCGAAACGGTATGCAAATAAATAAATAAATTCTACATAGAAATTTACGTTTCTATAAAAAAATATATTAAGTATAATATACATATGGGGATGTCCACAGCCAAAGCAGGGAATGGGACTATATATTATATAGTCCCATTCCTTGCTTTTGCTCATATGTGAAACAATATAAAAATAAATTCTATACATATCGATACATGTCAATTACTAATTAAGTATGTTAATGCAGGCCAAATATTATGTTAATGCTAGCCAGCTGATATGGTAATGCTGGCCAGAAATTTTATTTGGGATCATATTAAAAATCCCGCGCGTGCCCATCTCTAGGTAGAATACGTTTATTATTGATTACTTATCCAATTTAGCCCTTCTGATCGATGACACATCGGGCTTTAATTAATTGATCACGATATACATTACAGCAATACAATACACACAATTTATATAATTGAAAGCGCGCTGTGCGTCAATCAGGAGGGCTGAATCAGATAATAATCAATAAAATACAAGGCCAAGGTGCCCTTTTCACTTGGCAGCATTCATATATGATTTCGGATTGCCATCAATACAGATTTTTGTAAAAATGACGCGCAATAAGTTCTTGGATAAATTTTGAAAACTTTTTATCAAGCTAACCAGGATTTTGTTTATAAATGGACAAGGATTCCAACTAAAATCCAACAAACGATTTAATACTCTAAGCCATAAATCAAACAAACAATTCAATATTCGAACTCATAAATTCAACAAACCATTCAATACTCGAATTCATAAATACAACTATATTTATTTTCCTATCACGATAGCACAATCATCGGAGACAAATCCACAATTGAACGATTTCATGGATTTCATATCGCAAACACCATTTGCTAACGACACTTGTGACGCTTTAGCAGCGATTATAAAGTATACAACGATTTTTTCTCTCAACTAAGACATCTATTTACTTACGTGGGTTTTATATTTAATGCGATTTATTATAGAGCAACTTCAAAGTTTAATATATATCAGAACGACTTTTTTTCTGGACGATTTAATTATCATCGTCTTCTTTTGCGCCCATAATTCTTTGGTATTTTATCACCAAACCATCATTCTCCTAAATAATAAAAGCCTTATACCTTCACTTCTGCTGTATTTTTTGGCAGTTCTGACGTTGGTATTTATTGTGATAATTCTTGCAATTATTAACTTTTATTTGGTTTTATAATTATAAAGAACACAAATCATTTAAAAAAAATTAGAATTAATCAAATTCGTTATACTTTTTATTTATTTAATACATTTAAAGGTTATTTTATACTATAATATAACAAGCTCTTACTATAGCAATCATAATACGAAAGACTTTTTGGTGAAAGATTCATTAAATTTTTTAGTATATGTGATTTATATCATCTTAACTTCATATTTAGTACTTTATCTTTTCTCTTGTTATTCTCCTCCTATTCATATTATGAGCCTACTTACAATGGCCTCATGATTCCTAATAATTATCGGATATACCGAAATTTCTTATTAACTTGTGCTATAAACCTCCAATAATTGTACATAAACGTTGTTTTTCTTAACCATTTTCTTATCAATAATCCAATTATTTTTAGAATATGCCATCTATTGCACACCACCTCTAATTGACTTGATCTTTAATTATTCTTAACGCTGTTATATCACGCTTATTCATATCTTTCATTTCAAATAATGTATCAAAAACACTTTAAAGTTTAAATTACAGTTATGCAAAGTGAATAAGTCGAAGAGGCTGAGGAAGTTGAAGGGAAGCATATCATTTTTACAATAATTGATAAAAAAAGATATATGATTATATGATAAGATGAAGATATATATAATTCCTAGGAATATTTGTGAAGTTAACATCACAAGAGAGTCTGAAGTTTCAATCATAACTTTGGATAAATAATTAATATGACTCCAAGAGATTTTTTACCTCACGATTTTAACGATGACTGTATACATGCAATTGACATTTTTGAAATGGATATTAAGTGGTCTACGGGGAACTGGTTCGGACCAAGTCCGGACAGGCTTTTTGGAGATAGAGTGTCATTTTTGAAACATCGAAAAGATTTAATATGGTATGAATCATGAACAATACTTTTTAAATAGCCATAATTAAATTCGGCATTTCAGCTTTAAAAATCACCAATTGTACTATGATTATTAAGTACATCAATTTGGTAGGTTCAAATTAAATTAGTAAATACTTTATTGTTTTTTCTTTTTTTTTATACGCCATATAGAGTTTCAAAATTACATTAAACCGCTAGGGTAGGACTATTGTAAGGCTTGTTTTTGACAGAATTGTGAACTCGTTTTTAACTAGTCCAGGACCAGACTTTTTAGGTACCGGAACCGGGATTAAACCAGACGCACCACTTAACATCCCTAAACAGTATTGTATATTCCCATTGGATAAATCGAGGTCAAGAAAATAGAAGGAGCTGCTATGTTAATAGGATAAAGAATATATTGAGGGAATTATTTATGTGGTGTTGTTACCTGAAGTTCGAAATTCCTGACAAGATAGGACCTCACGGACATGGATCAAAGACAGAAATTTTGAAAATAAAAATTTCCAAAATTTTCATAATTTTTGCAGAAAACCCAATTTATTTTGTTTTTAACTATATAGTATTAGTAAATAAAGAATGTTTTATTGGTTCAAAATTGCCTTTTGATCACATGAAATAATTTGCAAAATTCGAATCGTTACTAGTCATGTGACATGGCCTAAATTATAAGTTAATTTCGTAATGCTAGCCGAAATCCAAAATTTTCCGTGTCCCTGACATGGGTGTTATCTTTCCCAGCGCAACCAACAAAAAATCTCGAGCACGTGGTTGCTGTGGGTGAAAGAGATTTGTTACTCCGATATTGATATTAACATTAATCCGATATCAATAAAACATAGCTTTCTTGTTTTTACTTTTTATGAATCGATATTTCTTTTTTTTACAATTTAATATTCCTTGTTTTTATTTTTTACAATCGATATTTCTTGTTTTTACTTTTACAAATCGATATTTCTTGTTTTTTACTTTTTAATTTTAACGTATTTGTACCTTAACAACTGTAGAACTTTTTTAAAAAATTTTTGATGATTACATAAATTTTCGACTTTAAGTAAAGCCGAAGCCGTTATCACTTTTGTTGAAAAAATGAGAGCTAAACTACCTATATAGGTAAAGAAACTAGATTGGATAGGAACTTATTCGAATAACTAATAACCAAAAAAAGAAATGCAGCGATGAAGTTTTTCGTAAATTAGTAACTTACCAATTTTAATTGGAATGAGTTTTAATTGAAAAGAGTTTTAATTGGAAAGAGTTTAGTAATTAAAACAATAAATTAACAAAATGAGTTATCGGTATACATGGGCGCCTAAATTATTTTTGAAAAATCGTATTTTCGGCAAACATTTCGGCATTGCTAAATTTTTTATATGAAGCCCTTCGA